GAGCAGCGGGGTGCGGTGGCCCCCCCCCAGCCTCTGGCCGGAGGCTCACCTGGTTACACAAAGGCAATCCTGCCCAGGTTTCCTCCCACCCTCCCTCCCTGCTCCCTCCCTAATTCCCTCCCTCAAGGGCTTTGATTTTGTCTCCAACTCCAAAGGGCTTGCAGCAATGGGAGTGGCCAGGCCCGGTCTGCTGCACCCAGGGCTCTGGAATGAATTCGCTGGACGTGTGAAAACAACTGTGAACATAATTCTATCTGCCCATCAGTTGGCCGGGCCTCCTCCAGGAACTCTGTTCATTTAGGGTGCTATTCACAGGAAGTGCCCAAGAGAGAAGCTGGGCAGAGAGAACATAGCCATTGTCAGCAATGGTTTGGACACACATTTCCCATCTATATAAGGGCATGAGGCGTTTGGCCATATTTGGAACGGTTTCATGCCTGGTTTTATTTTACTCTCTATTTCTATTCAAAACCCATCAGCAGACTCCGTAGGAAGCAAAAGCCTGTGCATATGCCTCTGAGGACAGTAAGGACATGAGCCTCTGGGGAAGTCATTCTCAGGACCGATTCTGGGCGGAGGACGAACCCTGGAGGGGGCACAGGCGATAGCTGCTGAAGAGAAGTGGTGAAGACGGCAGGTGCTGCCAGGTGCTGTACGGACAGAGAGACCAGGAGCAGCCCGGGCTGGGGTGGGGGAGAGGGTTTCATTTCCCAGGCAGTTCCAGTCTTCTGTAACAATTCCCTTCTCCTGCCTCTGTCCTCCACGCAGCCCGGAGCTCCCCAGGCTGGGCTTGCGCACTACCCCGACATGCTTCTCTGTCATGGCACCACTCACGGTTAGCTGCTGATATTCCTTCTTGTCCACCCATGCAGACCCCAAGCCTATCGCCTTGACTGCTCCCCTTTCACAGTCAGTGTCTGGCAATAACCTCTGACAGGCAGGAAGGGCTCAATATATGTTTGCTAAAAGAATCCACGTCAGTCACTTAGGGAGTCTTCCACGTCAGCTGGGTTTCCTGAAGCTGGTGACTGCAACTCATCAGGGAGAAGGGCAGTGGATTACGAAATGCGTTACAGTTATAGTGGGAACCCCCGGGTCAAGTCTTCATGGCTGTGGTGGGTAAAGAATAGGGATTGGGGGCCAGCAGGTGGCATAGTGGTTAAGCTGCTGGACTCCTTCATGGCTGACTGTGGCTCCATTCCTGGACCTGGCTGTTTGAAAACCACACTGAGCACCTGTGCATGCATGCCCAAAATCCTGAAAGGAGAATGGAGGACAAGGGATTGTGGCATGGCCATCCTCCCTGGGGAGTGATGTCTCACTTTCCTTCTTTCTGTTTCCATCTTTCTCCAATGAGTGCATGTGCCCTAGGGCAAAAACCTCAAACCAAACCAAACCAAAACACAGGGTTTGATTTAGGAAAATTTAAATGGGGGCAGACACAGTAGAAAAAGTGAGTATTCTCAGTGAAAGCAAAAAACGTGTCCGTGAATCTAATTCCCACAGCAGGAAAGAGTGGGAACAACGCCTCTTCCCATCCTGCCCTGGGGTCCAGCTCCCTTGTAACAGGCCAGGCTTGGGACTGAGCAGTGATGGAGAAGCGTTCAGAGCTTCCCTGAAGCCTGGGGGCAGGTTGGGGCAGTGGAGACGCTCCAGCTCTGAGCTCTTCCTTCTGGAGCGCCTTTACGTTGTACCCCTAGGCACTCTGTACAGGAGAGGTTGGGCAGGTGGACAGGAGAGATGGAGCGAGCAGGGCCTGCATGGCCTTCTCCTGGGCAGGGTATGTGCAATGCTCAGAGGGGCTCCAGGAGCTGCAATGAGGACTCTGAGAGATGGAATATTTTCACATTTCTCCAGAGCCTGCAGGTGTGAGGGGGAATCAGGATGCCTTGTCTGAAATTAGCCAGCGAAGGCCTGACCCTCTGGTTGGGGGCTGCAGCAGCCTACAGTGCTTACCTGAAATCACCTCCCCACCATGGCCCTGTTTGAGGAAGCTGAAGACAGTCTTCTGGTGATAAGCACAGTCGATGCAAGCCTGGACTGCCTGCTGCAGCACCACGGAGGCCCGGGCTGGCCCGAAATGGTCAGGGAGCTGCTGCACCTTCTTCTTATCCAAGTGGGGGCCGGTGCTGCCGTTCTTGTTCAAGTAGATGCAAACTGTGGGAGACAAACAACCGAAGGTTCTCGAACCAGCTCCGGGGTTTTATAAGAGCGTCCTCGGCCATCTTCCCCAGTCTGGGCTCTGGGCTCCAGCAGGATTCCCAGCAGCTAAGCTGGTGAAATGCTGGAGGGGGTGGGGGTGGTAGTGGGTGGGAGTCAAGAAAGGCTGTACCCAGCTGCCGCCTGTCTAAGTTGCATAACTAAAGGCTCCGGGAACACAGTCTGCTGGGAGAACAGCCCAGACCAAAGCCAAGGCATGGAATTTGCACTTTGTCTTCTGTGCACTGAAAAGAGTATCTACTTTCATTTTCTTTTTAGTGCATGCCCCCCCTTTTTTTGCCTCATATATTTTTTGTACTTCTCACCTTATATGTGAAAGGAACTGTGGGGCCATGGCAATATCAGCAAGAGTGTACCGTGTACGTGTATGAATGTGTGTGTGGGTGCACGTGTGTGTGTGTGCATGTACATGTGTATGTGTGTGTGTGTGTTTGGCACTAGTCAGAAGGGTCATATCATCGGTCACTTGCATTGCTTTTGGTTCTAGGAGGGCCTTGGAGCCCCTTTATTATCTCTTACAACACCACTCAGGCCCAAAGAAAGTAGTGAAAATAGTAAATAAATAAATAAATAAAAAGAAAAGGGCCTACAGGTCCCATGTCTGTTTTGCTTCTCTAAGTTTCCTCTGTCAAGACAGCTGGGCGCTGTCCTGGCTGCTGCCCTCCACCTGGCTCTGCCAGGGGGGCGGTGGGCACAAGAGGAGGAGGCAGTGCTGAACAGAGTTGTTCCTTGGTCTCCGCAGAGGGCTGGCAGCACCTGGGCAGCAATGACATGCCCCCCCATCTGCCTTCCAGGCTCCCTGCTGAGTGGGGATCACTCTGTTGGCCCTGTGCGGCTCCCTAGCTGAAGGGTGAGGAGGGCAGAAGCCGTTTTCACTGTCACAGGCAAGGAAATCAGAGCAGCGGCTGTGTGGGCTGTGGAGGGGCTGCCCTTGTCTCGGCTCTCAGGTTCAACCTCTGCAAAGTGCAGCTGAGCTGGATGCTCGCAAGGACTGTCTATTGTTATAATTCATTTTTTTTTAAAGAAGTTATTGTATTAGGGTGAGCAAAAGGTGAGCTCACAGGAGAGAGACAGAGATAGAAAGTGAGATCACCCCCCAGGAAGGATGGCCATGCAGCAATCCCTTCTCTTCCATTCTCCTCCCTGGATTTTGTGCACATGTACATGCGCCTGGCATGATTTTCAAGCCATTGGGTCCGGGACTCAGACTGCGGTCGGCCATGTGGGAGTCCAGCAACGTAACTGCTACACCACCTGCCTTTAACTTTGTATTTCTAAGAGAAGTCACATGGAGAGAAGAAAATGGAAAATACAAAGTGTGGGAGTGGGATGCAGAAGGTAACAGGAGAAAAAAGGAAGGAAAAAAGGGTCAACAAGACAAACTGCACATACGCGTTGAACTGTTCTCTCAAAACCCGCTGAAAGGAGCCAGACAGCAGGAGAGAAGACAACTGTAAAAGCCTGCAAGCTGGAAAGCAGACGGGAAAAGTAGCACGTGACTTAGCAGACCTAAGAAAGCTGAATCCCTAAAAGCAAGACTGGGGAGTGATGAGAATCAAGCTGTTTCATCTTCTCACTTGCAAAAGGCCTAAGAATTGGCAGAATAGATGCTTCTGGAGGTGGGTGTGATAAGAGATCTAATTAAAAAAATTGGCTGTTTGAGGTCTGTGAAGCAATAGTTGGGATTTCCATGTCTGATAATGGGACTCTTTTACTGAATCAACTGACACTGCAGGAACTCAGAGATAAGAAGAGTAATAAATGAAAACAAGCGACTATGAAAAGACACTTAAAAGAATGTTAAGAGCAGTTTATTCATAATAACCCCGAACTAGAACCAACCTAAAAGTCTATCAACGAGAGAAGAGAGACACAAACTGTTACGTTCACTTAATGGAAGCCCATGTGGCAGGAAAAATTGAAGAATTACTGACAGGCACAACAACACGGATACTTTGCACAAATGCTGTTTTGAAAGTAGCCAGATGCAGGACCAGCAGTTAGCATAATGGCTATGTCGCTGAACTCCCATGTAGTTGACTGCGGTTTGAGTCCCGGACCCGGTGGCTTAAACTCATGCCGGGCGCATGTGCGTGTGTGCCCAAGATCGCGAGAAGAGAATGGAGGAGAAGGGATTGCGGTGTGGCCATTCCCCTGGGGGTTGATCTTTCGCTTTCTGTCTCTCTGTGTGTCTCTTTCTGGTGAGCGCACGTGTCCTTATAGCAAAAGACCTCTCCAAAAAAAAAAAAGAAGAAAGTAGCCAGATGCAAGAGTATACCCAGCAGGACTCATCCACAGCAAGGTCAAGCCCAGGCATATTTGCAGTGACACAGAGCCAGATAAAGGTGAGGGCGGGGCTACAAGGAGCTGTGAGGGGACGTCCTTGTGGGCAGTCTGCTGTCTTGATTGGGGCTGCAGCTGCACAGGTGCTCACATTTTTAAAAAAGGATTATTTATCATCGTTATTATTTTAATTTGACAGAGTGAGAGGGAAAGTGAGAAAGCAAGCTGTCAGGTCTGGGACTTGAACCGTAGTTGAACATGTGGTAGTCCAGCACCCCAACCACTACGCCACCTGCCAGCCCCAGTGCTCACATTTTAAACTCAACAGATTGTACACTTAAGAGCTGTACATTTCACTTTACCTTGATTAAAACGCACACACACACACACACACACACACACACACACACGCCCCACATACAAAGTACAAAGTATAATTATCTGGTGGAGATGAAAAAAAATAAATTCTACATTATTCGAAATATAAAAGGCAAAACCATAAAACCTTCAAAGACTATGTCAGTGTAAAATAAGGCCCTGGAATTCTTCATGTTTCTTATGATCTCTGTCACATTTGACCAACAGACTATGATAGAAAAGACACTGTGCCAGGTTCAGGGCCCAGGGATTAAGAAGCTGGCGGTTTCTGTTTCCTGCTTCTTAGACATTTGCTCTTAGATCCCAACCACCAGGAGCAAGGCAGCAAAGCCTCCCTGTGGAGAGGACCACGTGGAAAGAAGCCAAGCCAGAATCACCTTGTCAGCCACGTGGTAGAAGCGGGTCCTCCAGTCCTGCCGAGTCACATAGCTGACCCTGCATGGACAGAAAGCTGGCTCCACCCAGCCCTGCCCCACTGTTTTATTTATTTATCTTTTTAAGAATTATTTTATTTAACTTTATTTACTTATCTCCTATTTTTTAAAAATTTGACCAGAGAAGGACATAGCAAGAGCGAGTGAGCGAGCAAGAGAGAGAGAAGGTAAGAAAGCAAGACACTAGGTCCGGGATTTGAACTGTGGTCAGCCATGTCCGGCGCTCTTAACCATCACACCACCTGCTGGCACCCCCAATGTTGTTTTAAGCCACAAAGTTTGGGGTGGTTTGTTACCTAGCAAAAGGTTATTGGGAGAGATTCTGGTTGCAGAAGCAGGGTGCTACAGTAACGAAAGCCTAACATGCATGAGGTTGGCTTTGGAGCTGGGCAAGGAAGAAGCACAGAGGCCCACGGAGAGCTCCTGTAAATGAACAGAGCCTTGAGAGTTTTGTTTTGGAAAGGTTTTTGCTACCGGGTGCGTGCGCTTGCCAGAGAGATACAGACAGAAAGCGCGAAATCACCTCCCAGAGGGGATGGCCACACCTCAATCCCTTTTCCTCCTTTCTCCTCTCAGGATCTTGGGCACGCACACACACGTGCCCGGCTTGAGTTTAAGCCACTGGGTCCAGGACTTGAACTGCGGTCAACTACTATGTTCAGCGACATAGCCATTACGCTAACTGCTGGAGAGATTTGGAGAGATTTTCACTGTAGGGCGCGTGCGCTCGCCAGACAGACAGAGAGAGACATAGAGACAGAAAGCGAGAAATCACCCCCCAGGGGGGATGGTCACGCCGCAATCCCTTCTCCTCCATTCTCCTCTCGGGATCTTGGGCACGCACGCACACGCGCCCGGCGTGAGTTTTAAGCCACCGGGTCCGGGACACGAACCGCAGTCGACTACGTGGGAATCCAGCGACATAGCCATTACGCTAACTGCTGGTTCCCACTGCTGGAGAGTTTTAATGAAAGCTTAGGTTCTCAAGAAGGCTGTCAGTGAGGATCTAAAGGAAAATATTTCTGGAAAATGAAACACAGGATACCTGCTAGAAAGTGCCTGAAAGCTTGCTAAGACTGCTGCCTACGGGAACATGGAAAATAGGAAATATTTGATGAATTCAATGAATTAGCCAAGGAGTTTTCCAGACAAAGCAGAAAGTGCCACCTTGCTTCTTCTCACTGCTATGACAAACACCGGACGAGAGATGGGCTTTAAAGACGTACACAGGCACACACCCAGAGCCTGCACAATTCACAGACAAAACTGCTTCTCACTGCTGATTCCTCCCGAAGGCAGACAACTGTAAATTCACAAAGAGTCAAGGTTCAACCTAAGAACGGGACAATACAATCTTTTTCCAAGGTGTCAGAAAGATCTAAGATTGTGCCTCATAGACTCTCTCAGACCAAGGGCTCTTTCGGAATTTTAAGGACAAGCCTCACAAGATTCTTTCCTTAAAAAAAGAAAAAGACAGACAATGAGAAGGAAAGTGAGAAATCCCCCCACCCATAGGGTGATGGCCACACAGCAATCACTCCTCTTGGGATTTTGGGCATACATTCTACTGGTGTTTTTCAGGTTACCAGGTCTGGGACTAGAACTGTGAAGTCAGTCATTTGGGATTCAGTGCCTTAAACACCATACTACCTGCTGGCTCCTAAACAACAGGGTTTTAAAAAATCTTAAGGATACTGTCCATAGTAGCTGCTTAGGAAACCGAAAGTAGAGGAGGGCTTATCTTTAGAATATTCAGGGTTGGGGACCAGTAAGTGGTGTGGTTGTTAAGTCAGTCGCTGGACACTCCCACAGGGCTGACCACAGTTCGAGTCCTGGACCTGATGGTTTGTTTTCTCACTTTCCCCCCTCTCTCTGTGTGCCTCTCTTTGTTCAAATGAAAATAAATGAATGAATAAATAAAATTAAATAATTTTGAAAAAGAATATTCATGGTTGTGGCTCTTGTCTAATGATGTGAACCCTGACAGTACTCAGAGGAACCCCTCCAATTCCCAAGAAATTCATTCTGGCAGAAGCATTGGCGGCTCGGACTAGAAGGGACAGAGGTAGGGCATGGCGGAAAGAATCCTTCAGACCCCCAACCGTTTACAGGCAGGAAGAAGACGGGGGCAGCGATTTCGGCTTTATACGGAAAGGAAGGATGACTCAGAGGCCAAGAAGAGCCAAGGACGACAACTCCCAGAAAGTCATACTGGACTTAGTAAAGGAGTTGTAACATGGCCCAGCTGGGTTTCAGAATGCCTACAGCCTGGTGACTGCTGCGTGCCTCCGCTTCGTTCTCAAAGGGAACATCTGTACAAGTTATGTTGCAACTGCACCTCCACTGCGTGGAGGGCGTGCCGTGAGCAGACGGGTGGCTGTTTAGTTCACAGGTCTTCAGGTCAAGAAGAACCACAGTCAAGTAGGTGGACCTGGGAAACCACACCCACGGGGCCTCACGTGCAGCTGGGGCTTAGTTTACAGTGAGAGCCTGGACCTGTAGCCCGCCGCCGTAGAGTTTGACGGAGACTCTCGGGAGAAGACTTAATTTTGCAACTGGGAGAAATGTAAATAATTAACATCCAAAGAGTGGTTTTAAAATATGGTCCATAATTCTTTGCTCCTACTCCCATCGAGAGGTGGAGTCTAATCCTCGCCTCTTGGATTTGGGCCCTGTGACTAAGCGAATTCTACTCTGCAGAATATGACAAAAGTAAAACTATGCTTGCTTTGGGGCTCACACTTGAATGAAATGGTAGCCTCCACTTCTGTCTCTTGAGACACTTGCTCTCAGGACCTAGCAACCATGGCATAAGGAAGCGACCCTTTCGAGAGGTCCGTGTGAGAAGAAGGGAGAATGGCAGTTTTGCTATAGCAGTATGTGAACCAACAACTCTCAGCCCCATCTGAGCCACCTCAGCTAATGCCACAGGAAGCAGAGAGGAGCTGCTTCATTTTAATACAGTGAAATAGTCAGTCTCTTATAGTTTATGCTTTCTTGCTTGAACGATCCTCCCATCTGAGTTCACGAGGATATGTCTGTATACTGTCGTGGCTTGGTTTTCTGCTGTCTCCAGGAAATCACAATTGGAGGCTGGTTAAAAAGGTCGGGCCTGTAAGGAGCACGGAAGCCCCTCCATCCTGAGAGGTGACAAGCTGGACAGACAGAAAATCGACAGCTCCTCCAGGACCCATCAGTGAGATCAGGGTACACCGTTGCCCCCAGCACGGGGGAGATAGGTGAATACAGAGATTCACAACGAGCAGGCAGAGCCTCTGAGCAGAAGCCTGGGCAAACACCAGTGCTGGGCTAGGAAACCGAGCTGCCCTCGAGGAGTTGCTGGAGGCTCTGAGTGGACAGGTCTGAGAGCTAAAAACTCCAGGTAGTTCTAGTCAGGGAGGAAGGGGGTCTCACACTTCTGTGAGCTTTAGTTCCAGAAGCCCAACCTGGTTCGCATGGTAGATACCAAAGAAGA